CAGTTGCGATTGATATGCTGCTGGCAAATACGAATTTGAATGCGCATCACGTTTGAGCTCACCAGCTGAAAGCTGCTTGATAAATATCTTGGGCATGCGCAACGAAGTTTGACCTTGATATGTTTATAGTACACCTTCTTGACTTTATGCTGTTTGTAATCTTGACTGATCATACGTCATTACTACGTCTCTCACAAAGAAACCTTTTGTCGAGTATACGATTGAGATCAGGGATAAGCTGAGTCGGCTTGATGTGGTGACGGATGCGTTTTTGCGTCACACTGACTATAAACTATCGCATCTCACAGTTGTTTCGTTGCCAATTGATAAAGTGATTTGTGAAGGTTACTGGTGCATGTTGCAGTGCTGAAGGCTTCGGAAAGCAAAGCGTTAACAGCTCAGATGTCAATTACTCAAGCACGCCGTCAAACGCTTACATCGCTTTGTCTTATCCCCATGCAATCTGCCCCGAATGACACTTTTTGTGCAGAATTGCCTCAAGGCGAGGGCTTCGAGACCAGTAATGTCCGAGGCATCCGTTACCTTTAAGCTGGTCACTACCGGTGAGCGCTATCTATTGGTGGGTAAATATTTATTAATGGGTCGACAAATAATTGCGCAAGTGAGAAACGTGTCAGCAGGTAACACCTTGGCTAATGCGGCGGGAATTTTTGTCAGTGTGCTGGTTTTGTCAGAGCTCTGACAGTCTATCGTTATAAGTTTCATTTTATAATCTCCCGAGAGACGTGTCAATTAATAGCAATATAGCTAGATGATAGACTGTCTGCGCTGATAGCAGCAAGGTCGATCAACTCGCTGCTATCAGCGATAATGTGATTGGTAAAGATGTAGCCCCATTATTTCCGAAAACCTGTCTCGCCGAAACGGCAAGCCGGTCGCCATAGGTAGCTCAGCACCAGCTTAGATATATCAATTACTGATTATCCGTAAGAATAGTGTTGTGACCCGGGTTGGTCATAACCCAGGTTAACCCAAGTCAGGTTTGACCCAA